TACTTATGTGAATTTTGCAGCTTGCCTGAGATATTCGCATTAATACTTCTGTTAAAAATTCTCTTATTATTTCTGATTGATAAAAGCTTGTAGTGTGGCAATTTTTAAAATTAAACCTGAATTTCTTATTTAATTAATTCCAGTACTTATACTTTTAATCTGTCCGCAGTCACAAAATCAGTGTGTTTCAAGTGCATTGCCCAGCAGTGTACAATACTAAAACATACAAATTGTTGTAAAACTGATTTCTAATATTAAAAATGGGTAGATAGTGATGCACTTGCATATGTTCATGGCTCTTGTGTTGTATACATGTGCATGAATTCAACGGGCTGGTAAGAGGGAGGATGTGTAGGAGTATGTTCTCAGCTGCCATCCCTAGGGTTAGGGAGAGTCTCATCTGCATCCTCTGCATACTCGACAAATTAGGTGGTCATGGATGGTATTACCCCTTCCAACAACCACTCCTTGGGTTAAGAAGGGTCTCATGTCTTACTTATTGAGCATGGGTGGTCACGTACTCTTCATACCCTGTTTCAGGGTGATGGAATTCTGCTCTTCATTTTCCATGTAACCCTCCCATAACCAGGTGACTCTCCCAGTTATGACACAGGCTACACAACACATGCAAGGTCAAAGTCAACTCCTTCCTTGTTTAATTTCACTTAGAAACAAATTAACAATTAAACGATCAACTCCCAGTGCTCAGCTAAACACACCTCCTCATCTTATGGCAACATAAACCCAATCTCCCTCTGCCAGGACAGCTGAACTCTGGAATCTGCTTCCCCCTCTTAATGACTTCCAGCTGTCTGTCTCTCCTTCTAGGCCTCCTGTTCCTGGCAGGTGCTATGGGGTGGGGATAACTTCATCTCCATGTCCAGGACACTGATAACCACCTCCTTCCTCTCTGCTTTTTTTCCTGCGGACGCGCCCTAATTTATATTAGTAGCTTGTGTTTTTCATTGCCTTGAAGGTTGGAGTACCGAGGTCTGTGACCTCATTTATGAGACAACGAAAAAAAAAGCCTTCCTGATGGCAAATGTAAGTGGAAGATTGTGACAGGAAGGCCATGTTACAGACTCCTTCGGCATCATAATGTAGCTGCCCTGGGAAATGTAACCTGTTGATTGATGTTTACACACTCAGCCTATACACATGGTAGTATGTACTAGAGGAGTTTGCGGTAAACCAGAGGAACTTTCCCCATGAAGCCATGTCCTAGGAATTTTGATAAATTTTAGGAGGTTACTTGGTTTTCTGTCTTGTCTTTTTGGGGGTAGATAAGACCTCTGCTGTATTCTTCTCTGATTATGAGATGAATGGCACTTTCTTGTCACTGAGCAAAAAGTGAATAACACTAATGGTGGAACTCCAGGTCCCTGCATCAATGAATCTAGGGCTGCTATGCTGACCTTTTCCAGGTCTGTTTTTTTAAACTGTGCTAATTCAATTGAATATGTTATAAGGGTAGGAATGAGGTCTGAAGTAGTATCCTTTATAACATGCAGTTGGAAAAAAAAAATTGTAGTTTTGGTCAAATACTTTTTTCACCATTTTTTTCCATTTAAATGGTCTACCTGTTCTCTTGGTTATGACAGGTGATCCGATATCAGATACTACTTCTCCTTACAGACCTTGCCATTTTTATATCCCCAAACTATTGTTCCTATTACTATAATCACATTATTATTTATAGCTGTCACAAAAGTGAAAAGAATGTCCCCAGCAGCCTTGAATGCATACATAAGTAAAAAAACCCAACCCAAATCTACATCACAAAACATCCATAAACTTTTATTGAAAACAAGTATGTTTTGAATTCATTGTCTAAACAAGATCTAACATATTTCTAGGGTTATAATATGTTCTTGAGAAGCACATAAATTACTAAAATATTGAGAACATTGCCAAAACCTGCTAGAAATATTTTCAGCAATTTTGTGTGTAATATGAACATGATTCAATGAAAGATGTGGAATTTCCCAACTGCAAAAAAAAGCCAAACCAAAAATATCAATGCTTCTGCCTCCAAGGCAAATTAGGGAGCACTTCTCTTTGAGTAACTTTCACAAACACTGTAAGTGACAAAAGCCCTAGCAACTAGGTTTGAATTGCACAATATGTTTCTAGTAGACCTCTTACAAGTGGAAAAGCAACAAAAAAATTGAATGCTTACTCAACAGTTATGTATTTGGAAAATTTCTTGTGCTGACCCAATCAAACTGAATGTAGTTTCATTTGAAAAAAGTGAAATCCAGAGGGAAACATTTAGAATTGGAAGAAATCTGCCTAGCAGATTTGCATTTGATAGCTGTAAATGCAGGTATTCCAAAATACAAAGATCTGGGAGAAAGATAATACACAGAATACTCTGATACAAGGCAAGGTCTCTCAATTCACCAAAACTTGCTAACCACACACTTTAGTTTTCCAAATTATTCTAAGAATTATCATGAATACTGTTTGGGTTAATAATTAGAAAGTTTTTCTAGAGAATCAATTTATGAAATGGCAGGAAAACAAATGCAAAGGTGATTCATTATATAACAAAGTCCTTAAAATAAGTATCTTGCAATGGGAAAATGTTAGTTGTGTGTTAATTGCGGTAACATATTGTGTCTACACAAAAAGCATATCCACAAATTTCTAAGGTTCTAAAGTCATAGGAAATTATGGTCTTTTGTGTTGTGTCAAGCTGTGAACCTAGCCCCTGTAATAAGTGATTTTTTTCAGCTAAACTTTGAATGACCCTGTACTTGGAAAATGTTTTTAAATACTGTTTAGTCATTGTAGTTGTTTAGCAGTTAATCCAAGCATATTGTTTTTTAAGTAAGGTTAGCTTCTTGTTGCCCAGGTGTAATACGGAACAAACGGTCAAGGGGACAATGATAAAAATATTAGGAAACAGAAAGCAGAGAAGATGGTTATTAAAGGGCAAGGGATGTGGAAAAAGCAAAGGCCACATAGAATCATAGTAACTGGGTAACTTATTGTAAAGGAGAATTAGAAAACCCTAAAAGCAAACAAAAAGTTTAAAATATAAACATGTTAAAATTATGACATGATAATGGTCATTATAGTCAAATGCACATGTAATAACACACAAAGATAAGTAACTGAAAGTGTAAGATCACAAATATGAGATGATACAATATACAACTGTAAAAGTTACAATAAAAATTATAAAGGATGTTCTGAGGAGAGACATAGTATTGATCCAGTAATTGTTGAATCTCCTTAGATTTCCATATAACTGGAAGATAACAGTCAGTGCAGTCTCTCACCTTGAAGTTTACATTTGTAATTGTACATGCAATAATTGCAGTAATAGTAAAAACTCTTACAAAAATATATTAAAGAAATAGATAATTGGGGCTTGAGTAGTGTAGCCACTTTTCTTTTCTGAGAAGGGACTCTAGAGATCAATATGCAGCAAAAATCAAATTTGACAGGCAAAGCTATCCCCAAGGATGCAGAAATCTTTCTCCCACAGCCAAAAGTGGAAGGATTGGGTATTTTAACATATATTCTAATTCACACAAAGCTTAAACCTCCTTTGCTTCTCTGCAAGCACACACACACAAAGAATTTTGTTTCTTGTTACAGTGGTACTTGTTACAGGGCAACTTTTCCACAAACTGTACAAAAGTTACAAAGGAGGGGAAAAGAAAATATACTTCTTTATAAAAGCAGATGTTTTTATAAAGGTGAAGCAAGATACTGACATCGGTGAAATGCAATTCAATTGGTGCTTCTTTCCAGGCTAAAATATATTCCGCCCCCATGTTTCAACTTTTTTCCATTTGTCTGGGAGAGACTCTGCTTTTTATGAGTACTTTGCTTCCCAAGTAGGCTACAGGAAATGCACAAGGATTTGCTTTGGCAATGCTATTTAACCCCTTATTGAAAAAGCAGGTACTCTGCATATCCGGATCTTAAAACCAATACATTTATATAACTGCACCAGCCCAAGTATTTCACTTACTTGTAATGGTTAGATTTTCCAAGCCTTAGCTTTCAGTTGGAGGCTCTGAAATCCAACTCTGGGACTGATAAATCTGAATAACCTTCCTGTCTGAGGAGGTATGCTCATGCATCTTAAAGTGCTATCAAGACCTACTCTAAAAACAGGTTTCTGACACTGTCTTGCAAACGTTATTACTTAATTCAGAGAAAAAGAAAAAAAAAACAACCATATAAACAAAAAGGAAAAGGCAAGATGCATCTCACTGGAGACTCAGCACCTCACAGCAGAACACCCAGAAAAATCTCATTACCTCAGCAATATTTCTAAGTACCTGAAGGGTGCTGAGCAATAGGACAAGAGGTAGAAACTGGTGCACGAGAAGCTCCATCTGAACATGAGGAAGAACTTCTTTACTGTGAGGGTGACCGTGCACCGGAACAGATTGTCCACAGATGTTGTGGAGTCTCCCTCACTGTAGATATTCAAGAACTATCCGGACACAATCCTGTGCCATGTGCTCTGGGACGAAGGGTCGTCCCTGCTTGAGCAGGGGATGGGACCAGATGACCCACTGCGGTCCCTTCCAACCTGACCCATTCTGACATTCTTTGAGCCTGTGATCTGCACGGTTCATATGGAAATATCTGGTATCTAAACAGAGACGCGGCACAAGTGCTCCTACAGCTCAGGAAGGGCAGGAATCCGCTGGATTCCCAGGCATTTCCAACATCCCTCTCTTAGCACCCTGGCTAGACAGGAGCTGCTCCTATAGGGACTGTGAGGAAAAAAGAAGTCTGGACTCGCACATCGGGGGGGGGAGTTACGGCTCACGCAGCCCACCCTTTCCAAGGTGCCGTTCCTCGCCAGCAGAACATCTCCCGCTCCCAGTCCCCCGCCCCGGGACCGCCCGCCCCGGCAAGGCGCATGCGCGGCCCCGGCTCGGGCGGGCGAATTCAAACGCGCCCCTCGCCCCTTCTCCTCGCTGGGGCAGCGCTGACGTCATTGCACCGCGTCCTCCCCTGCCCTGCGGTTTCCGGCGCTCGCCTGCGCCTGGAGTGCGGCGGAGCGGGGCAAAGTTTTCATTTCTGTGGTTCACGGCGACGTTTCTCTCTCCCAGGCGCGGGCGGGGGTTGCGTGAGCCCGCTCCACCCGGCGCGGACCCTCCTGTATCCTCGCCGTCCCTGCTGGAGCAGCGGCGAGGGGCTCTCGGCGATGGCTTCGTGGGGCGTGGAGGCGGCGGCACGGCGGGTGGCGGAGCTGGAGGAGGAGCTGCGGGGTCTGGCGGAGGAGCTGAGCAGCTGCCAGGTACCGGAGCGCAGGGTCGCCCGGAGCCGGGCTGGCGAGTCCCCCGGGTGCTGCGCGTTCGCGTCACGCTCCTGGGGGGCCCGGGAGGCAAGGACGGGGAGCGGGGCCCCGGGCAGTTCCGGGACGGTAATTAAGCCGGTCCGGGCCCTTGCCCTGGCTGAAACCACCTGTCCTGAGAGCTTTTTCGTTCCTCCCCAGAAGCCACGATTTGCTTGAATTGTAGTGGCAGTAGTCCCTATGTGCTGCCTTGTGCAACTCCGGGGAAAAATGAACAGGCAGAGGGGTTTTAGAGAAATGTACGTCTTGAAGGAATCTTTGGAAGTCATTTAATCTCTCGCCCAGCCTTGCAGGGGGATTAAGTACACTTGAGCCGCTTCTGGGGAGGGAGGGCTTAATGACTAATTATGGGTGTACTTTGAAAAGTTCCCCCGTGTGTCGTTCCTTGAGACCTCCATTCATAGGTACGCTGTCCTTATTTTTCTAATTAGTTGTTCATTGCTGACATTTAGGTGTATTTCCTGAAAATATGAAAGTGTTGATAATACAAAATGAGTGAAAATTCTCTGCCAAACACGTGGATTACACCAGAAGTATGCAGCAGAGAGGAAGGTGACATTTAATGCTGCAGATGCTTTCTCACTTGATGGAAGTCAAAATAGTACTTTCATGTGGCATGTGGTCTGGTTAAGGCCATGAAGGCCTGGGCTAACGTGGTCATCAGAAGAAAACATCCACCGTGGAGTTAGTCGAGGTTCCCTTCTCCAAGCAGCTTTGGTACACCTGACAACTGGCACTGGTTCCTGCTGTGGGTAGAATTCAGACTTCTTGAAAAAACATATTGCTTGGAAGATCTATGAGGAGAGGGAGCTGTTAATGAAAATCCTGTTTGGAAATGCTGAACAATGCTGAATGGTTTGGGGGTATCTTCAATGTCTTGTGGGAGAAGTTCAGAAAACTCTTTATGAAGATATATATTCCTAGTATGCAGATGTGCACTATCAGACAAAATTTGGTGGAAGCAGAAGGAAGGCCCGGTTGTCTGCTCATTTGGTAGTTGAACATAAATTATAAATTACTAAAACGTAGTAGGACATAATATTTTTGAAGAGCATTAAAAATAATAGAAACTTGGAAGTAAACAGTACATATCTGAATTCCTAATCCCTTTGATAATGTAACTTAATATACAAAAATTGTAGTTAAGCATCTGATTTCCCCTTTAGATGCATTCAATTATGTGTGTGTTTCTGCTTGTCTCTTGATGAACACATTCCAGTCTTTTTAAAGTCAGAAAACAGAAAATATTTTAAATGTATTTATTTTAATTCTCTTGCATATTATCTTGCCGTTCTTGTATCTTTGTCTTTTATTAGATCAGGTAGTTTTCTGGGAGGGAAGCGGGCAAAAAAGAACAGGAAATAGTTGAAAACAGAAGCCAGTCAGTGTTCTGCAATAATCTCTCCAGCACTAGGTAGTATCCAATGTATACCATCTTTCTAATGACAGGGGATGCATGTCTGCAGGATTTATTTTATCATCTTAATAAAATAAAAAGAAAAGCGAGGTAGTAATCTATAAACAGGGTTTCTCTGAAAGCACTGCAATGTAGACATCTTTACCATACTAATCCATCAATAAATTTAGACAGGTTTAAGCATGTATATGTTATGTAAAGAACAGGGAAGCCAGATTTTAATAAGTAAAAGAGGTGATAATGTAGTAAATTATGCAACTTTTTCAATGTAGTATTATAGAAGATAATTAACTTTTTAAAAAGAAAGTTTTGTGAAGATATTCTGAATTTGAAGGGGAACTAAAGTGGGCTTTGGTAAGATCCTTCAACTGGTTTGAAAGTCAACTGATAAAATTATTTGGGGATGATTAATCCATTTTAAGGTCATATTTTGTGAAAACTTTGTGGAAAGACAGGCTATTTGAAAACATAAATACATATGGGTAATGTCAATGTTATGTTTTTCTAGTTTCTTCAGTTGTAATACGAAGTTTTTGCTGGCCAACTAATTCCTTTTGTGGAATTTTGTTTGATCTGCTGTGATCTACTTAGTTTCATTTAGATCTAAGAACTTCTTTGGTTCTTGTGATGTCTTTGAAAATTTGTAGGTCTTTTTAGTAGAGTTGTGAAACCATTTATGTTGAAAGGGACCTCTTGAGAGAATGTATTGCACCCCACCCTAGAGCAGATTGCTCAGGATGGTGTCCAGTTAGGTTTTGAGTGTTCCCATGGCTGGAGGCTGCAACCTCTCAGGACAACCTGTGGAGGTGTGTGAAGACCCTTGCATAAAAGTGTTTCAGTGTCTAGTGAGATTTTGCTTGTGCTATGTTCCATGCTATTGGGTAAGGCTATCCCTTCTGTAGACTGGCTTAGCAGGCATTTTGGATAGAAATGTTATGTAATGTCTTTATAAAAGATGTTAGTGAGACAGTGTTAACTTTTAGTCCAGCAACTGGACAAAATTGCCTGGGATTTTTCTTTCTTTTTTTTTTAGTCTTTTTCCTTCTGAGTAATATGTTCACAGACACATAAATTGCACTTCCAAAAAAAGCTTCCCAGCTGAAATCTAGTTTAGTAGTTTAACAGTGTACCAGAACAAAGGGATTAGTCTTAGGTATTTGTTTAGGTATTAGCCTCTTGAATACTTTTTTCCAAAGAAAAAAAGAAAGAAAATTAGTGATGCTGAAAGCTTTAATTTGTTCTAGGAAACTCTAGTCAAAGTTTTAGAGAAGAGATGTATGCATCCAACAGTTATTTAGCATTTGAATAAATTATGCCAAGTTTCTCTTCTACACACCTTCTCGGACCATTATATTCACTGTAATATAAACTGCACTTCTGAAACAAAGTCTTTTCAGGGAACTGCAGCCCATTGATGATATGGGGTCCATTGGCTGAATACTTGTGAGCCTTTTCCAGCTAATGCAGCTCCTGAGTCTGGTGGAAGTATTGTGCACGCTAGCTTTGCTCTAACCACAGGTATTCCAGGCGTCTGCTTCTGGATGTCGTCTCTGTTCTGCAGCAGAATCCTGGAGTACCTGACCCTTTTACTCATCTGGGATGGTGCCCTTTCTGTTCAAAACGAGATTCTTATTCATATTTATTCTGCCTTTTAAGATAACACTTCCCACTAAGTGAAGGTTCGTACAGAGTCAAATATGGTATTTTTGACTTCCTTTTTTTTCCCTCGCCCCCCTTTCATTCTTTTCTAAAGCTGAGATTCTACTGGTAAGTCTTGACTTCTGCAGCTTGGGTTTGAACTATTTGATATTTTCTTTAGTACTCCTCAAAACATTGTGGGAACTTGAATCATAAGAAGCAAGATCTTGGAGTAGGACATGTTAAAATCACAACAATTTTGTTGCAGTCAGTCTGTGAAAACTCATGTTGACTTGTAATTCTGTGATAGAATGTGCAAAAATGAGAAAACCAAGTTCCCAAATTGTCTGCTGAGGAGCCTTGTATAAAGCTGAAAAGATCTGTCTCTATAGGATGCTGTTTTGGGAAAGTTATGGTTGTGTCTGCAATAAAGCACTGTATAATTATTTTGATAATAATTTTTAATTTAAATACTCCTCCTTATTTTACTTGAGAAATTAAGTAATTGTTTTGGAAAACAACTGAAAACATGAAATTGTTTTTTATTTTTAAATTTGTTTCCATTGGGACCTTGTTACATTTCTGTGAAGGGCTTGATGTTGTTGGGGGGCAGTGAAAAGGCAAAGATGATAGTAAGATATGACACAACTTGTCTCTAGTGTTTGTGTTAACTGCTGCATTTCATTTCAGGGTTTTATGCTGCTGCCTACTACCATAAAATTTCAAGATCCTCCCATGGAAGATCTTTGATACCTGTGTTCTTATTACTCCCAGTAGATTTTGTTTCTGCTTGGTGTTTAAAAGATCTGGCTTATGTTTTAACCCCATATTATTTTCTGTTGTGCTGTTTTTGCAAAGCGTAGTGGCTCCTGGTGAAGGAAATTAGAGTGGTTTGGTTGGTTGTGTGTGGGGTTTTTTGTTTGTTTGGTTGGTTTGTTTTGGTTTGGTTTTTTGGGGTTTTTGATAAGGGAAATGATACGTGAGTGGCGTTTCTGAGCCAACAGAAACAGTACATTTTGAGTTTTCATGTACTTTAAGCTCGTATATTTTCTTTAAACCACCTATTTCATCTATATTGATTCACAGCATATTCCCTGGTTGGTTTCTGGCAGTCTTTTTTTTTTTTTTTCTTTTTTTTGTGAAAGATACTTCATTTGGTATCAAAATGGTATTTGGTGTAAAATTTTGTTCATTCCTCAAGCCGAAGATTCATATTTGGTGTCCTAGCTCTCATTCTCTTGCTAAGCTACAGACTCTTTCATGTGCCACTATTCTGTAATTAAAAAGATAGGAATGGTTCTTTCAAGTATTCTGTGATGGAAAACATCATCAAATCCTTGCTTTGGACAAGACAGTGTGATTCAAGACTGGGTTTTCCACAACCAGCAGTATTACTGGTAATAAAGAAAGCTGGAAGAAGCAAATACGTATCTTCCGGTTTTACTTATGCTATTGGTGTTGTTCACAAGATGACTTTGGTTTGTTTAGCTTTATTTCATATTTTTCAGCCTAGGATCTCTTTATTTGTTGAAAATCCTGTTTTGAGTTCAAACAAGTGTCCTAACAATTTTTCCATTATTAGTTTAAAAAAACCCCACACTATCAACCCTCATTTTATTTATTGCAGTTTTGCTCTCAAAGGTAAGGTGACATCTCTTACTGCTGAAAGGATGCTGTGTTTTCCTAATTGAGGACTTCCTTTCTAAAATTGTGGTTCTGCAAAAACTGAAGTGCTTATAATGCCTACTCCTTTTCTGTGTTAGAAATTTAGTACACCATTGCATGGTACTCTGCACAGTTTATACTCATGGCCCAAAAGGTACGGTCTGTCAGCCGCCAGTGGTCTGCAGACCATATAGTTTAGCTGGAGAAACCATTCTGCCCTATA